AAAAGATCCAGGTTTTTTTAACTTGTCCACCCAATTTTAATGTATTTTTTCAAAAGCACGTTTGTAGAAAAACATAATAAATATTCAAAACATCAGTACCTTGGCGTGTAACTCCTGAATCAAATATTTGAGTGATTTTATTTTAAAATATATTCAATTCATCTTAAATTTTTCAATTCCACTACAAACTATAAAACATTAAATAATGTATTCTTCATATTCATCATAGATTCGAATAATAGCAATTTTAAAAAAATTGATAATCTATGTACTCACTTTTATCCGTCAGTTCTGTGTCCAATGTTTAAATTCAAAATTCCTCCGAAATATTGAAGTTTAAACGCCAATTCCTTGTTTTAACTCAAGTGTTGGTAAAAAATTACCTACAGAGCCCGCCCTTTGCATGACATTCATCTTGAAAACAATGCACTTATAGTTCCAGTCAAAATTTCAGTACTGTGGTGAGTAGTTATTTTCTTAAGTATATATATTTCATTGTAATTTATATAAGGCTATATGTGATTTGTTGATAAGTAGCATCCACTAATAAAAAATATCAGTAAAATACTTAATTCCGAATTATAATCTCAAATTTGTATCCCATTCATCAGTATACTGTGTCCACCAGCCGCCACTGATGTATTATTTGATTTTAAGATATTTAATGTATAATATGCTCAAAGTTGCAATAAATCTTATATTTTCCAATAAATTATGTATTTAATTAGTACCCTGGTATACTCGTCACTTCCCTTGCATTCAAATTTAGAAAACACAGATATTTTAGAAACTGTTTAAAAAAGTGACTGGCCCGGTCTGGAACAGTATATTTATTACACAGTACGACAAAATTTGATTTTTGGTCCCTCCCATGAAAAATTTCTACAGATTCTAAAAATAGAGTTAAAAAAATGATACCCGTGTCTCGGCGTTTTTTCACATCACGTCATAATTTTTTTTAAGGGCTATCCAATAAAATGTTATTCACACTATTCGCGACATAATTTAACAGACTCGATAACAGCTGGACTGCATAGTTAAAAATATATATATTTACTAAATGGATAGGCAACCATTATAGATGCATTTTAAAATTATTTTAATCTTATACAGAGTTTTGCACATTTATATACCTATATATATATATCAAACTGTTTATTTTTAAACCAAGTAACAAAATGTTTCAATTTTAAGCCAATCAAAATGCTTTAAAGTCGGGTGATTAAAATTTTTATTTATTCAATTTTTTGTAAAAATTGAGCTTTGTTGAATTAACATTTTTTTTTAAATTAAATGATATTTAAATGAATTGATTTAAGTCTTAAAGCAAGTGTACGAAGTCAATTGAAACAGCAAAAAAAAACAAAAAATTTACACATCTGCGGCATTTATACATAAAAAGCATTGTTTTCAAAACAATCTTTATACGAGGGTCGGTCAACATTTATTTCATTGTTTTAATGTACTATATTAATGCGCCATGCACTTAATTGATTGCACCCACAGGTCTGTGATTGCACCCTATATTTCTTAATGTTTCAATTGACTTCGTATAGACTATACTTAAATACTTTTTTTTTTAATGTTAAATAAAAACATTATTACAGCGATAAATCGATTTTTTCATATTAATTTTGATTGTTGAGTTAACCATCCATTTGAAATAAAAATAAAAATGTAGTGTCCGAATCGAAATAATTTTTGTTATGTATGTGGTTTATTTTGCACCTCCAGTCATATGCGAAATATTACAAAAAGTGTAGTAACAGCTTTTGACTATTTTTTCGTGACTTATATACCAAACTTGGTATGTACCAGAGGTTTTATGCGATTATTGTTACCGTTGTTTGCATGGATTGCAAGATAAAACACACAGTATGAAATATGTTGCACACCAACAATTTGGCTTCGACCCATCGCGACGTACCGAACACGCATCTGACCAGTGTTATTTCTGCATGTCAAAATTAAAAAGTTTTGGATTTCGGTACAATACTAGAGAGAAAATTGATTACGCCGATGTAGAATCCGTCATTCTCGCAAGAGTGCGATCTGAAGATTATCCAACTGCTCCTTCAGAAAACATTTGTGAGGATAAAAGTAAAAGACCTTTAACACCCAGTACAACCATTTTTTCCGAGGTGGAATCTGAATTTATTCCCTGTAGTTCGGGTTATAAAGTACATTTTATAACACAGGACATGAAAGTACATATGTCACTGAAAATACATTTTCTCCATGCTCATTTGGACTATTTTCCACCAAATTTGGGCGATTTTAGTGACGAACATGGCGAACGTTTTCACCAAGACATTTTAACAATTGAAAAACGCTTCAAGGGAAAAGACGTCAGGCATTTGCTGGGTGAATATTGCTGGTCAATTGTTCGAGATTCTGAAGCAATATAGAGCCTGTTCAGAATAAAACCGAATATATCTATATATATATATATATATATATATATATATATATGGGGCGTGGCCTCGCCTCCCTCCAAGGCGCGTCACAGTTGCTTGTGTGATAAACGACATGACGAAAGGTCGAGCAGGTAAGGACTTAAAAAATTAAATGATAATAATGCAAAAAATCTAATTAGCGATGCAGTCTATTTGCTTAGCTACTATGTCGCGCGTTGGAGGGAGGCGAGGCCACGCCCCATATATATATATATATATATATAGATATATTCGGTTTTAGTCAGAACGAGCTGTATAATCGTCAAACTAAACGACCAAGATTTTATTCCAACATGTATTGAATATAAGATAAATACAAAAATGTGTTTCATTAAAAAAAAAATAAAAAAATTATTTAAAAAAAATCAAAATATAAACTTTTTTTATATTTGTTTTTTGTATTGTGTAAAAACATACAATATTTACAAAAAAATATATTTTTAACCGAGTAAAAAATGTACAATCTGTATAAGCATAAATAATAGGAATGACGGCTTAAAATTTTTTTATGACGTGATCTCGTGAAACTGTGAGACACGGGTACGTTTTTTTTTACCTCTATTTTCAAAATCTGCTAAAATTTTTCATGGGAGGGAAATCGTGTTGTACTGTGTTATATATCTATGTTAACATAACAATTCTCATAACAAAATACTGTTTAATTTTGTTTAATTAATATATTCTGTGGAAATAAATATATTATTATTATTATTAAGCCTTGCCTTTTGACAAAAAATATAACAAACATCGTCCGATAGAGCAGAAACACTGCGCACTCATTGGTGGATTAAAAAATTTAATAATACTGCAATTTTGCGATTTCGAAACAAATGGTAAATGAAATCCCTCTGCGACTTCATGCTCTCCTGAAACTTGCGTGCGTCTGAAAGCGTTTTATGTTTTTCGAAACACGGTGTTACCATGTCTGTATTCTATCATGTCCTCCAAGAAAATAAAACAAAATATGGGTAGTAGTATATTATTTATTTTATTAATGAATTATTTTTTAAATAATGAGAGGTTAAATCACAATTGATTTTGTAGGGAATAAAATAAACTTTATATCATTTTATCATTAAACCATAAAAAATAAACCTAAACCTATAAACATATTTCCTTAAATGGTCTTTGTTTGAAATTAAAATTAATAATTAAATTAAATAGATTACAATGCATATTATCAATTCCAGTAAATGTTTGTGTTTTTTTAGTATTTACAATAGGTATAAATTATAATTATAAATTGAATACAAATTAATCTACTTTTTTGGCTTCCAATTTATTTAGTTTTTTCTTAATTTTTTCCAGTTCTTCTAAAACTTTAACCTGTTCATCGTAAGTTTGAACCAGCAAATGCCTATCCTTGTTGGAGTTAAGATAAAATTTTCTTTTCAGCGTTGATATCATTAAAGGCATTTGCTTCCTGTACTCCTTGTTCTTCAAAGAAAAGTAGTTTCCACAAACGCATTTTGTTGTTCTTATCAAAATGCTGGCCACGTCGTCTCTTCTTCCATAGGCGAACAGGTGTTTGCATAGCTCTTGGATCATCCACGATCCCGTGTGTTGTCGAAAGGAAACATTACCTGAAATGTTTTCAAATCGTTGTGATAGCACTTTTTAAAAATTTAATTGAATAGTCCTGCCGTAAGTTCTGCATTGAAAGCTACAGAAGAAATACAATATGCAAGGTGTGTTCAGAAAATTTCGGGAATTTTCGTTTTTTGAAACAAATATTTATTTATTCGTCTACATTAATGTTGTCGCCTTCAAAATAGTCCCCATTGGATATTATGCACATGTGCCAGCTCTTCTTCCAATACTCGAAACACTTCTAAAACTCGATCTTTGGGATAGCCTTTAGTTCTTTTAGCGATGCGCATTTAATGTCATCTATGCTTGCAAAACGACGGCCCTTTAAGGTTCTCTTTATTTTTGGGAATAGGAAAAAGTCAGACAGAGGCATGCCTGGCGAATATGGAGGCTGGGGCATCATTACAGTATTGTTTTTGGCCAAAAATTGTGTTCAAAATTTAACAATTTTAGAACAAGTTTTGCTGCCACGCGTTTCATACCCAAAACATTCGAAAAAATTTCATGGGATGAGCCAATCGATATACCAACATCATCAGCGACTTCTCTGATGGTTTAAAACCATTTCTTCCACTTTTTCCATTTTTTTATCGGTTGTTAATGTACTTGTGCGTTCGGGGCGTTCGTCATCTTCAACGTCTTCACGGCCATCTTGGAAACTCTTATACCACTTGTAAACTCTTGTTTTCCTTATAGCAGACTCACTATAGGCCTTTGTTAACATTTCACAGAATTTATTTCATTTTTTAAGCAAAATTGGATACAAATTCTTTGATCCATTTCTTTTAACGAACGAAAAATCGCCGAGCTCATAAAACACGTCTAACCTTAGCGGCTGCCACTGACAAAGTAAACAATGAAAACAGCTAATATCATACTTCGGGGGCATGTATACCAACATAATAAAGAAAATTTTATGACAACCGGACCCTCCAAACCCGCGAAATTTAACAATTCCCGTTATTTTCTGAACACACCCCCTAAATCCAAAATATGTTACGACTAGCTCTGATAGAACTTATGGCAGAAGTGGCTACAGTACCTTCAATTGTAGAAAAGTAAAAGATCATATCCTCAGGAATTTGTGTTTTTAGAGTTCCAAACGGAATAAATCCGGAAGTTTCATCGTAATCAGATACACTTCCTTTGGTTGTAGAAAACGCACTGCCTTTACAAGCCTTAAACAATGTTTGTCTACAAAATTTGATGAACTGTTTTTTAAATTTTTTGGGTGCATTTAATCGAACTCCTTTGGTTGTTGTAAAACGTTTGCCTTTGCAAGCCTTAAACAAGTGTGGCATGTATTTGTTGTTTTTTTATTTTTTTTTATTTAATGTGTGTGTTGCAATGAAGCCGTTTAATGAAGAGAAACGTGCTTTTTACGTACGCGCATTTTACCAGCTACTGAATCCACAGTAAAAATACACAATACACAGTAAAAAATTTCTGGTAAAAAAACAACACTAAAAGTGGTCTATATAGGTCCACACTAGAAATGGTATATCTAACCACATACAATTTGGTAAATTTTACCCTTTTTAATTGGTTAAAAATCTACACGTACTATTCGTACAAAAAACTCGTAACAGTGTAAAAATCATCAAATATAATACACTCTTAGGGGTAAAAGCAACACGCAATATTGGTAAAAGAACTCCATTCAAGAGTAGAAACTGCTCAATTTGGTGTAATTTACTACACATTTTGGTGTTACTTGTAGGTGTTAAAAATGGTGGGTGTTTTAATATTAAACACAGCATGTAATGTAAAATAAACTATATTTTTTATTACTTACAAACTATTAGATATGAATACAAAATAGGCTTTGGCATAAAATTAAAAAAAAAAAATGATTAACACTACTTAGGTGTATTCTTATACCCAAGAAGTGTTAATAATTTTTTTTATTTGAATGAAAAGTAGTACTTAATATTTTAAGTTTTTTCCAGTTTGTGCAAAACCATATTTAGCTTATATAGGTATATAAGTTAAATATCATTTTTCACTAGCTCAAAAAACTTAAAATTTTACTAAATTTCATATTTCACTTATCACAGGTAAAAAAACATGTTATATCACAAACATAAGTTGCATCCACTGTCACATTGCACCACTTTACCCGACCACTGAATTTTAATTTGAAAACCATGGTCTTAAAATAGGTACACTACCATCAACTGCACTCGGAATACTGATCTCTTCCTTGCCGTTAACGAATGGTGATGACTACGTGACTTTTTTTTACCACAATGTGTGTAGCTGTCAACAAATAATAGTGTCAAATGTACACTGCGTCGAGTTTATCTTTAAATTAACACTAGATTGACACGGTGCTGTGTAAAATAAATTTAAATTAACACGAATGAATTTTACCACAATTTAAAATAAACACCTAATATTTTTGACCAATTTTAGTGTATAAATTAACACCAAATGATTTTACCACTCCATTTGGTAACTTTACACCGAAATATTTTTTACTGTGTACAGTCTCTAAAAATGAATTAGTCAAAAATGACCAATTGTCATAGCGAAAAAGCAGCTACTAATAATTCTTGTCAATGGCAATTTGTATCCCGAACATTTGGCAGTCAATGTAAATGTAAAATTGCCCCCTGAATCCGAAAATGTCAAAAGTTAGAAAAGTAGAACAATTTTTGAGATATAGTCAATTTTCCATATAATAATATTACACTGTTCAAAATTTTATGACCATTTTAACACCAAATTTACACCATACATGGTCTATATCGATACAAACCAAAATGGTGTTAAATAAGGTTCGTTGGTCCGGTGTAAATTCAAATACTAAATCAGTGTAAATTTAACTTTCACACAGTATTAAAATAAATTTTACCTGGTGTAAATTGAACTCCTTTTCAGTGTTAAATATAATGTGTTTTTGGTCAAATTAAATCATACTACACAGAAAAAAAGGAAAAAAAGGAAACAGGAAGTTCCTTGACGCTAGAGATAATGTTTTTAGTGCGTTCCACCTACTTAAAATAAGTATTGACCGCTGGTTCCACCTATTTAAGGCCTCTTTAGTATCGAACAACTTTTAGTGTCACACCAAAGCAAAGGACTACCTGAGCTTATATACCTTCATGTAAGTCAACAGAGGTGAGATTTAACATCACGTGATCCACACCCCCTTTGCCGCGATCGGTACACACTATGCAACCAGGAATGCACGGCAAATTGTTTTAATCGTTTTAACAGAGTGCTTTAAGTTAAAGTAACTCTTATTTTACAAACAACATATTTAGTAAACTGAACCATACAGCGCGCTGCAGCGGGCTGGTTTCACTAAAGTTTTCTGAGTTAATTTAACCAATTTAAAAAAAATAAAATAACTATTTGGTTTAGTACCGTCAAACTAATCTTTCTTTATATTAACCTTCCCACAGTTGATTTAAATAAATACTTATGGGTCAACTAAATTAATATAGATAAATGAACTATTCTTTTTTTTCTGTGGATACACTGCACTTCTCAAATATTTTTAGATAAATACCGTTTTGGAGTTTGCTGTATATAACATTTTCAACCATAATTCATGGTGTTTATATTAACACCACTTGGTGTTAGATTTTGACACCATTTTAAGATTACTCTTTACACCACAGATATTTTAAACAGGGTATAATAATAATATGGAATTGACTTTATCTCAAAAACTTCTCTACTTTCATAATTTTTAAAGATATTTTCGGATTCAGGGGACAATTTTACATAAGAATTGATTGTTAAATTTTTGGGATATCATGGTATTCCACGGAATAAGTCAAAAAGCAGCCACTAATAACTGTAGTAACTAGTAATTTTTGACTAATTAATTTTTAGAGAGTATACTCATACATATATACATATATGTATTTTTAGTCATGTCTTGCAACTACTGGTAATTAGCACGTGGTCCACATAAAATTATGGGGGTGGTAAAATGCGCGTTGCTTTATGATAAACAACTCCATTACATGTAATGTTGCAACAAAACTTGAAACGCTTTACAATTTAACTCCAACCACGACCGCCGTTGTTACCACGTTTTACAGTAGGTAACATCCTTTTTGGACACCCTGAACTAAATTAAATTTAAAAATAAATAGTTTACCTGGAAAATAAACATTTTTGGTTTATTTTTAAGGCAGTCTTTGAATGGCTTGTAAATTTCTTCCACATTAATATCATAATCAATTGTACTTAGTTTATTGCACTCTTTTCCGTGTGTAAAAAAAAAGACCATCAAACAATTTACATCAGAGAGTTGGGACTTGGCAACTACAACAAAATAAAATAATTACCTTGTATCACCCAACATTGCATTAGGAAATTTGCGACTTGACTTTCCATGGTTTTATGGGTTATAGCGGAAGAATCAATTAAAGCAAAGCATTCTCTACCGCACACTAGATTTGCAACTTCACTTTCATTGGAATAGAAGTAAATATAACTAATCAGAGCACGGCATTCTCCACCGTACAATAGTCTAGATCCTTGTCTCTGGTTTAGAATTTCTTCATTGGATTCCGATTTTAACACAAGACTAAACTATAGTTCTCTTATAATGATTTAGTCAAGAATGAGTAATTTTAAGTTATAACTTAAAATATATATATTTAAATTTAAATTTAAAAAAAGTTATGACAATGCTGGGGTTTGAACTCGGGTCTCTTGGTTGTGCCACTTTTATAAATGACTGTTGTATAATAGTATATTATGTATAAAGTTTAATAAACGCCATTTTATACACGAATTTAATTTAGGCACGAGCGAGCTTGCGAGCGAGTGCTTAATTTAATGAGTGTATAGAAAAGTTTATAAACGAGGTGCATACTATAATTTTTCTACGACAAATACTTATTATTATCTTAAATTGATTTAAATCAAAAATTTGTATAGAGCGCCATCTATGAAACAATAGGGGAATCTGTGTGTAACTGTCAAATGTCACATTTTTATATTTTATAAACACAGATTATAAAGGTTATAAATCGAAATGTATTTCTTGAAAATTGACAGTTTTTCACAGTGAAAGTAAAGAAAATGTTTTATGAAGACTTTACAGTGGAGTCCGTGCCCGAATTTAATTATATTATAGTTTACTGCCGGCTAAATTAAAAGGTCAGTACAATCTTCATATAAACTTTTCAAATATTGGCGTTGAGAAACTATTTAATACTTTTGTATTTTTTATTGAGATAATAAAATAATTTTCACATTTATTATTATTTTACAAGAAAGGCACTTTATTTTAACGATTTTATGACATTTGACAACTAATTTAAAACTAACTTAAGCCCGTGACTAAAAATCTGTTGTTAACTTCAGCCCGTGACTAAAGCGCCATAAAGCCACAATTTGTCAATGTGTATTTAAAAGGTCACTTAGTGTCATGGAAACATATACGATAATGGGCTTTTTAAAGGTGCGAGTAAAAAACATTTCGATTTGCTCATAAAAATTTGACATTTGACATCATACACAAGTTGGTTGCTCTATTGTATCATAGATGTCGCCCTATACAAATATTTAATTTAAATTATTTTTAGATAATAATTGGTGTTTTTCGTAGAAAAAGTATAGTATGCAAATAGTTTATAAACCTTTCTAGACACTTATTTTATTAAATTAAATTCGTGTCTAAAATGGCGTTTATCAAACTGCATGCAGTTTAAAACATAATTGATACATAACATACTATTAAAGTATAATATCTTTTTTGTGTTTCTATTTTAAGCTTAACTTTTTTATCTTTATGTTTGTTTTTATGAGCCATTTAACCATGGAGCCAACATGCATGTAACCAGGGGCGTGCTGGCTATAACAGACCGGCCCGGGAAATTCAGAAAAATCGGCCAACTACACACGAAAAATGGGGGGTGAACAAAACCAAGTTAAAAAATTTAAAACATTTATTAATAACACAGGCCGACAAAAAAAAAATTCTGTTTGGTGCATGGCAACCAACAACTTTTTAAGGGTAATTTAGGTACGCTGAATCCAAAAATGAACATCATTTTGCTCAATCACCTCTTGTTTTTGCGATGTAGAATAGAAACCATTTTTTTCGATATGCGCACATTCAAATTCTTATATATATTTTTTTAAACTTCCAATTTAAGCAAGGATAATTGGTAATGTTGCTATGGGTCTTTATTAAACTAAAAAAATACCATATACATTGATAATCGTATTCTCATTAAAAATCTTGCTTTAATCGAAAGAAAATCGTTTTCTTAGCCAAAACTCGGATATTTTTAAAATTCAAAGTGATACAGCATGATCAATTTTTGCCCGATTTAAATAAAATTTACCCTATTTGTATCTCTATTTATCTACTTTACAGTGTTAAAATTTCAATGCAATCAAAAATTGAATGAGAGTAGTGCTGCCGTGCTAAGCTAAACCCCCGTATCTGCAATATTAAATAAAAAAACATTTTCATTGTTAAAAATAATAAAAACTATATTTTGTCCTTTAGTGTTTAATATTGCAGATACGGGGGTTTAGCTTAGCACGGCAGAGTGTATGATAGTAGAGTATTGAGAGCAGCAGCAGATACTTTACTCATACTCTCATACAGTAAAACTAATAGAGAAAAAACAATAATATTTTTGACATCATGTCTAAAATCCTAGGAACAAAAATTGTCCACTTAAATAGGCTCTGTGAATATTTATAGCTATTCACAGAGTTTATTAGTACCCAATTTTGGTTGATTTTATTACCATGTTGCCAATTTTTATTTGATTGCACTGCAATTTTATCACAATGAATAAGATAAATAGAGCTACAAATAGGGTAAATTTTATTTAAATCGGGCAAAAATTGATCGTGCTGTATCACTTTGAATTTTAAAAATATCCGAATTTTGGCTAAAAAATAGATTTTCTTTCGATGAAAGCAAGAATTTTAAATAGAATACCATTATCAATGTATATGGTATTTTTTACAGTTTAATAAAGACCCATAGCAACCTTACCAACTATCATTGCTTAAATTAGAAGTTTAAAAAAATATATTTAAGCATTTGAATGTGCGCATATAAAAAAATGTTTTTTTGTGTACATCGAAAAAACAAGAGGTGATTGAGCAAAATGATAGTCATTTTTGGATTCGGCCTACTCAAATTACCCTAAAAAAGTTGGCTGTCGGACAGTGTAATTAATAACATAAAGTATAAATTAAATTCTTGAAAAACAAACAGGCAACAAACACAACCAGACAATATTTTAAACCATGCTAAAACATATAGCATTGCACTTAAAATAAAAACTAATACAAATTATCATCGCTCAGGAAACTTATAAACAATATACAATCTCGAAAAAAGAAACAAAGCTGGCAGGCTGTCATGCATGCAGTGGCGTAGCGACAGTACCGCGAACGCCCGCCAAGCGGGGGGCCCTAACCTCTTAGGGGGCCCGGCCGATACTTGCCCCAAAAAATTAAAATACTTATTTCCATCTTACTTATACCTACTAAAAATTGAATAATAATGAATGTTTAATTAAAAATATCATAATTTTCGCGGGGGGGGCCCGAAATTTGTCGCTACGCCACTGCATGCATGGTATGTGTAAAATAATTTTGATATTTATACATAACTCAACTAAAAAAGTTTTTAATTGACCACGTGCTGCGGCATGCTGCCTACATAGCCCTCCGGCACACCGGCCCACTTAGTCCTCCGGACCACCGGCCCACCGGGATTTCTCCCGGTGTCCCGGCGGCCCAGCACGCCCCTGCATGTAACGGTATTGTTAAACAATAGTTTGTTGTTAAAAAATAAGAATTAAGAACGACCAACCAGAATAATTATTGGTTTTACTCTCAGAAATCTCGATAATCTCGATCGCCAATTATTGCTATCTAATCAATGATTAGTAATCATATCTTTAGATAATTATCATCTAATCAAAAAAAATATTATAATAAAATGTGATATGAACTTTAAAGTCAAATATTATTTTTACACGTAATTTGGACTAAATATATTTTTGAAATGGTTTGAAGACTAACTCTTTTGATTTTTTACATATATGTATAATATAGTATATACATTGTATATACTAGGATGATTAAACAAAAATCAAATATTTTTTTTTTACTTCCGAAAATGGAAAATGGGTTCCTAGGCAGTGCTGACCAAATTTGAGCAAAGTTTTCCATTTTTTCTTTAGTCTCTTATATTATAATAATAAAACCAATTTTTTTGGTCGTTCTTAATCATTATATAATGATTAAGAACGACCAAAGAAATTGGTTTGTATCTCAGAAACACTCAAAGTTGGTGACTAATCTTAAATTAGTCGAACATTAACTATTTTAAAGTGAAAATTACTATTTTATTAGAAAACACCCCTGGGAAAGTATCGTCTAGAATTTTTTTGACGATCCTCTTTTATTGACGATTTTTTAGACGATATCATCAAATATTGATGACATCGCCTATAAAGTCGTTTAAAATAGAAGATCGTCTGTTATTTTTGTTGACGATCGTCAATAAAAATACGCGATCGTCATTGTAAAATTGATGATCATCCAAATAAAATGACGATCGTCTATCTAAACGTTGACGATCGTCATACAAATCAGGCGATCGTGTATTCTAAGCAATCGATCGTCTTAAGAAAATGAAGATCGCCTTTTGCAATCTTCTTTAAAAGGAGTAATTGTGAATTTCACAATCTTAAAACTAGGCGATCTCTTTTAATAAACAATGATTTTTAAATTATTGTATAAATTATAATTAGTAATAGGAAGTATACTTACTATAGTAACTTACTTAATTTGTATAATTATTTTATAATTTTTAAATTTTTTTAATTTATAAATTTAAATAGAAATTTTTAGTAATCATTAATATACAAGGTGATCACTTAAAATTGGGCAAAAATTTAAGGAGCCGTTTCTTCGGTTATTTTTGGAATATATCTATTGTGCTGTGATGATTTTTGCAAATCCGTTTTGTTTTAAATTAGTTTAATTATGTTACTTTTTAACAAAAAATTTAGGGGTGATTTTTTGGCTTATTTTAATAATATTTAGTAGTATTTAGTGAACTAAACTAGCTATATAGCTAATTTTTAAAAAGGAGCTTTGTTTTGAAGATACAGGGCGATACAATTTTATAAAATTCCAAATCATCACAGTACATGTGCACATGCGTATGATGATTTTGCGTTAAAAAAATTGTTTTAACCTTTTTTTTTTGTAAAATATTATTAAAATAACCCAAGGAAATTCAAAGTTTTGCTTTCATGGATGCAATAATTGATGATAATAAAAAAAAGTTTTTTGATTTTTAATCATACATATTAGGAATGCAATAAATATAATTTCTATTATTATTATCATCGATATCAGCGATGGCCATAAAAATACATTTTTCGACAATATTTTCAAAATGTATTAATTCTAGAGGAGCATACAAGTCAGATGCACATGTTACAATGTGGGGGGTCGGGTTAAAGTGACTTAAAATTAATTTAACTTAATTTTTAGAAACTATTCTTTTTTTTTATTTATTTTCAACCATTAACAATTAGTACTTAAAATTCGACTAATGTCTTTCTATTGTGATCGTCATTGGTCGATATTTTCTCGTTTTTCGAATTCAAGTTGATCGTCTTTTGAAGACGATCGTCTTTTGAGGCGATCATTATTTGGACGAATTTTCGTCTTTAAGGCGATTGTCATTTAAGAAGATCGTTTTAAGGCGATCGTCTTTTATAGGCGATCGTCATTGGACGAATTTTCGTCTTTTTTTTTGACGATCTTAGACGATACTTTCCCATGGGCAATGCTGTTATAACAGCATTGTACTATTTAAAATAGTGTAATTTTAACTATTTTATTTTAAGAGACTAAACATTAAAAAAATATATTTATAGTTTACCTTCTTCTAAATAATCTAAAACGTACTCCTTGCTTTTGTCTGTAAGAATGTCGTTTTCGTAGATGTTGTAGCCCTGTCTCTGTAGACACAAAATCATTTCGTTTACATCCCTACGACTTCCAATTCTGGGCTCTTTATCGGCAAACTCGTAGTTAATAATAATTATTTTCCCCGGATCGTTTTTGTCTCTGGGATAAGACAGTTTGCAATTTTTATAATCGCGTTCTATGAATTTCTTTTCACCATCTGGAACTGTTTTTAAAAGTTTATAATTAGTTTACCGCATTGATCGACAGGACGCAAGCAGCATTTTAAGTAAAAGCGTAGAGCTTTGAGGCAATATTACTTAATTTAAGTAAATATTTTGTTAAATTAACCTTAAAAATTTCATTTCAAGTTAAACTTTTTTTAAAGTTATAATATATGTTTTATTTATGTTATTTTTACCTATTTTAATAACCCTTAAGTTTCAACACTTTAAAGTATTATGAGGGACGTAATTTTTACGAAAGAAAATTACTTATAAGTGTATTTTACCTAAAGGAAAATTTAACGTTAATTTTAACGTCAGAATTTTTACTTAATGGTAAATGTTACTCATAAGTCATAATTTTACGATATTAAGACCACTTTATAACCGTAAATAATTCCTATTCGCCTGGTATTTTTTAGGGTTATTAGTGGGTAATAAATACTAATAATATTGACTAAACAAGGAAGAATAAGCTTAAAGTGAAAAATAAAACTTTGCGGGAATTTTTCACTTTAAGCTTATTCTCGAGTTTTTTAAGATGGCATCCATTACTTATCTAAACATTTATATAATATTTTTTCATCAATATGTTTCTAAAATATAATAAGAAAAGTTTTAGTTATTAAAAAATGATTAAAACTAAATGATTTTTAAAAGATTTTATAAAATTTTGTAGGTTTTAAGTTTTGTTGAATTTTTACCCAAGCAATAATTTTTCTTAAAACCGTAAAATATTTAGAGGGCATATAATTTTTAAGACGTATCATACCTATTTTTATCAATAAAATAATGTGCGTTTGAGTTTTAATGCAAAATATCAATGGTTTTGACAATTTAAGTTATATTTTTTAATTTTAGGGTGGCCTTTATTACTTTGTAATTACTTAAGTACCTACCATTTTGTAAAATATAAATTAAAAGAACAAAGAAACTACGAATATCAATGTTTAAGAAAGAGAGAGCAAACAGTTAGTAATTATAGCGTTATTTTTACGTAAATTTGTGGTATTTATATTGTTTTTATTACGTAATTCTCTTAGTAGATCAAAAAGGTTATTATGTGGGTAAAATAACGAAATAAACCATTCCCCAAATTTGGTAATTTTTCGTATCTATACCGTTATAAAACCGTTTTGGTTAACCGTAAAAAATAAAGTTGACTTAGTAGTAAATTTGTAGTTATTTAAATTTAAAATGCTGCTTGGGGACGCCTATCTTAAAAATCGACGACCAATAACAAGATAGAAATATGATGGTTTAACAGTTTGCACGATAAGATTTAGAAAAAACGGTAACATTTATACAGGGTGAGTCATTTAACTTGAAACTTTGAAATATCTCAGTTAGTATTTTACGAAAAAATGTTTAAAATAAAAATTAAATGATTCGAGGGGGGAAATCAATCAACAAGGGGTAACTTTAAAATTTCCAATGGAACACCCTATTTTTTATTGCAGATTCGGATCATTCGACTAAAAATACGTATACGTAGATTTTGTCTAAAAGATTTTTTAATATTTGTAATAGATGGCGTCAATGTTGTCCGATTTTTCTTCTTATACGATTCTGCAATAATTTTTCTATAAAAATATCAATTTTTTTTGGTAATAATTATTTTATTAAATTAAATCTGATTTTTTTAAGTACCCACGATTTTTTAACTAATATTTAAGTTTCCTTTGGTTAATGTTTTATGCATTATTTCATTCGGTGATAATTATCAATTGCGCACCATGGTCACTTTTTACCTGCCAGCATTAAATCATTTAATTTAAAGGATTATTGTACTATTTTTAATAAAAATACCTCATTTAAGGTAAAAAAAACATTTTGTCAATTAATTAATTTAATCCTAATTGAGCTATAAAAAAATGGTATTTAGTTATAAATAATAATTATTATTAAGGTATAAAGAAACTATTAATACATATAGTTATCGTATTAAAAGTATTAATACTTTGCGACAAACTCGCTAGATATATATATTAATTAAATATTCTGCAAGCATTTCTCTTATCACCGCTTTTGTTTAATTTCGTTCAGGATCTCATGCCAGCATCGACAGACGCGTTTCGTTCTGTGGAACTCATCAGTGCCGAGTTGCTATAGGCTTGAGACCCAAACGAAAACTTTAGTTCCTTTCCTTATATTGGAAAGGAATAGTTCTGTCGATGCTGGCATGAGATCCTGAACGAAATTAAACAAAAGCGGTGATAAGAGAAATGCTTGCAGAATATTTAATTATTAATACATAGTTTAGCATTATTTAATCAATTTAGTTCGAAGATTAATTTGCTAACAAAAAGGCCTCCTTTCGTTAAGCATTTATTCATTATGGATTTTTTAACAGTGGAAGAAAAAATAGAAATGATTTTGATTGATGCTGTTAATATCTACACTTCAGTCAAGCAGTTTACTACAAACGGGAGTGTTTAACCGAAAAAAAGAGTTCGTTGAGCAAATATTTAATATTGTTATTTTGAGTAGGTCTACTTTAATTAAAATTTAAAAATAAATAAATTTAAAAAATAAAACCAACTATTTTATTCAAAAATTATTGGAGAATCGTATACAGAAGAAAAATCGAACAAAATTGTTTTTTTTTTCATTACAGCGCCATCTATTACAAATATGAAAAAGTGTTTTAGACAAAATCAACCTATTTTTAGTCGAATGAGGGTCTTCCATTGGAAATTATAAAGTTACATCCTGTTCCCCCTATAAGGAGGACCAATTTTAGTACTGATTGAATTCCCCCCTCGAATCATTTAATTTTTTTTTTTTTTTTGGAAAATGTATAATAAGTGGGATATTTCAAAGTTTCAAGTTAAATGAATCACCCTGTAGAAAAACAAAAACTTCCTTACAATCAATGAAATGAAATCGATACAAAAATAAAATTAATTCCTTCTACATTCAGCATACGAAGTATTCTTAGGACCGAGGCCCAGCGACTGTTAATTATGATTATCTGTTTTGAAACTTGAAAGGAAAATGCTTTATCTCCAAATTAGGGACTCCAATAAATATGATATGCTTAGTGGTGATTAAAAAGTTGCACAAAGCGTATACATTAAAAAAAAACTTTTTTACTAATAGTACGTAAATTTATACTTACCAACAAATACATTATTGTTTGGTGGAGATATATCTGTAGATATATATTCCAGTGGTAAGTTAATCTTTTTCCGGGGCACATCTGCAAAAAAGTCGTTTTTAAAGTGTGTTTATTTATAAATTGGTTATAAACGTACTATTTTTGTTTGGAGTGTAGCTCCTTCCATCTGTATGAACCTCACTCATGCTTATTGCTTTGTGGACTAATCTCAATCGCCAATTATTGCTATCTATACATATCTTATCATCTTATCTAAAAAAATATTAAAATAAAATATGATATGAACTTTAAAGTCAACAAAACATTTTCACCCGTAATTAAGACTAAATATATTATTGAAATGGTTTTAAAGACCAACTCTTTTGATTTTTTACATATACATATGTATATGGGTGAATATATTGAGATGTCCCCCAAGTGAAAATGATTATTTTTTATTTAGTGTTGTTTCACTGTTAGTCTAGAATGGGTTTTTGGAAAGCCACCAGGTCTAGTAATAACATAACATAAGTGGTTCTGCACTAATGCAAGAATTTTAAGAAATCATACATTTTGAATATTAGAGCTTCATGGAAGATAGCTTCACGGAGGTTAGGATTTCGTATGTTTATTTTTAAACATCACGTGATGTACAAAGTACTTTGTATATTTGAAATAAGTTATTGTATCTTTTGACACCTTAATATGTTTAAAAAATACAATTGAACATACATAAAATATTTATAAAAAAATTTTTAATAATATTTTATATTTGATTTAAATCAAATATAAAATATAAAAAGCAATGAATTGATTGCTTTGGATGTGTTTAATTTACTTAGTGAACTAATATTTTTAGTACCTCGGAAATATATTTGAAAACATATAGGTTAACCTAGGATAGGTTTTAGACTTTTAAAACATTGTAAAAAATAAATAAATTATAAAAAATAAATAATAAATAATAATAAATAAATTTAATTAATTGCGGTTAAAAATCTGGAACCTGAGCTGTAATTACATATTAATATCTACTTAATTATGAAAGATCAAAACACAATAAAAGTGTAGGTCAAACTCATTTAGTTTTATTAAATATCACGGGGTAACACCATTGGGGGACATTTCGTGAGATTCACCCATATATAGTGTGTTTCCTTTTCAGTGTGGACACCTCTGTAACTTTTTTATTTATGGACGTTTTTTTCCATTGTAGACAATTAAAAACTGAGCCTAATGGGTATAAGCAAATTGTTCAAAACACAAAACCCAACCTGTCACGATTTAAGAAGCAGACCTTAATAAAAAAACATAATTTTTTGTTGTTGTTAAACTGACTACACCATCGCGTTCAGTACCATCCCAAATGCCTATATCCAAAATTTTATGAAAATCAAAAAATACACTGCCCGTCAAAATTAACGCATAATAAGTAAAAAAATTCTAACTCTAAAACGCCTTTACCAATCATTATAAAATTTTTTATAAAAATACTTCAACTTATATCTCAGTTTACGTGTTCAAGGGTTTTTCGAGAAAATATCCTTAAAGCCCTTTTATTTAATAATAAAAAATGCTCGAAAAAACTTTTATAGGGAAATTTATTTTTAAGTAAATAAAAAATATGTTGTGAAAGACCGTAGTTTTGTTAGTATACCCTAAAAATTTTGTACAAATCAAACGAACAGTAACGATAATACAGCGCTTTAAAGTCGTCAAAAATGACCACTTTTCAGCAAAATAATAAAAAAGGGGTCATTTTTACCGACTTTAAAGCGCTGTATCTTCGTTACTGTTCGTTTTATTTTTACAAAATTTTCAGGGTATACTAACGGAAATACGGTCTTTTACAGCATATTTTTTATTTACCTCAAAAGAAAAGTTCCCTTAAAGTTATTTTTCGAACGTTTTTTTAATTATTAAATAAAAGAGCTTTAAAAATATTTTCTCGAAAAACCCTCGAACTCGTAAACTGAGATATAAGTTGAAGTATTTTTATACAAAATTTCATAAAGATCGGTAAAGGTGTTTTAGAGTTCGAATTTTTTTACTTAATATGCGTTAATTTTGACGGGCAGTGTATTTAGTTAAGTTGTTTTTTTTAAGTTAAAAATGCAATAAATTTCTGTATTTATTTAAAGGGCCGCTAAAACTTCGACAAATGGTAGACAGTTGTCAAAAATGAAATAAAATAAAAAAAAGTCAAAGCACATTTTTGCTAATAAAGTATAGTTTAATCTAACTAAATAAAAAAATAAAATATACGTATTAAATAAAGTAAGAATTCAACCAGGGGCGTAGCTACCGCGGTATCAGCCGTATCAATGATACGCCCCCCCCGCTAGGGGGGCACATATCTTGTATTAAAAATTTATTTTCACTAGCAAATTTACCAAGTGTAATGCAAAATGATAATTTATTTGTTAAAGTAAGTTTCTGAACTTAATGATATTTTTGATTTACTCCTGTGAAAAACTAAAAATCCATATTCTTTGCTACGAACAAAATTAGTAGTAATAAATTATAATAAAATAAATTATTTTTTGTACCCAATAATAGAGTTTTCATAAAAACCATCCAAAAAAATATTTATTTGTTTTTTCGTTTACATTTCAAAATTAAACGGAAATTTTAACGAAAATTTCAACGCAAATGTCAATGCAAAATGAATGCCAAGTCGACAAAAAAGCACATACTTAGTTTGTATTTGCGTTCGATTTACGTAAAAAAATATTTCAACGCAAACTTAACCATAAAAAATATTTCAACGCAAACTTGACCATACTTTACAAAAACAATAAAAAGATTAAATATTTGTGTTTAATTTCGAAAAGTAAACGCAAATCTATTATATTATATTTGGGTTTAATTTTAAAACTTAACGCAAACTAAACTCCAATCCATACTATCCTAAAAGTCAACGCTAAGTAAACGCAAATAAAACGCTAGATTGACACGTTGCGTTTAACTTTGTGGCGGCTGGTGGATTTTGGGCACACCCATATCTCAGTTATTAGACATGGGACCCACATCAAATTTATATGAGTTTATAATGACATTATATAGACAACTTCTGCGCAAGCAGAATTTAAATGAAAGTTTGCGAAAAAAAAGTTAGTTTTTAAGTGTGCCCCCCAGACCCCGGCCCCCCCCCAAATTAAGATAATTCAAATTAAAGTGGTACAATATTTAATTTACTGAAGTTTATCGACAAATTTCAAATTTTATTAAAAAAATTCAAGTATTACAGATTTTATACCATTTCTAATTTTTTTAAAAATTAGTAAAAGAAATAATAAAATTTTAAATGGTATAAAACCTGTAATTCTTAAATTTTTTAAATAAAATTTTAAATTTGTTGATAAACTTCAGTGAATTAAGGTAGTTGTCGTGCTGTAAGCATATCATCAGAAAATTTTAAATTTTTGTTTACTTATTAAGGACATGACAATACAATTACCACTTTGATTACTGTGCATCTTTGTTATATTTGCTTGATAATGCATCATTAGATTCACTACAAAAACTTCAAAATAGGGGAATGCGTATTATTTTAAGATGTAGTAAACGTACCTCTATAGATTATTAACTTAATGTTAAATACTTTACAATGGCAATCAGTACGTAAACGAATAAACTATTACACTTACTTTTATATACACTAAAAAATAATATTGCTGCCCCCTATTTACATGAAAATTTAGTATTAAACAACTTTCATGCAGTGTTGCCAACCTTTGAGAATCAAATTACCCACAAAGAGGGTAAAAATTTCTAGAGATGGGGATCAGAAAGTTTCCATTTTAAGGAAACTTTCCGTTTTGGAAAGTTTCTTTTAAGCTACCGGAAACATTCCTTGGAAACTTTCCTTGTTTTTTTCATTTAAATGTCAATTGTTTAACCGCTGATTTTCGTTAAGGCCATGATACAAGGCCAAGAAACTTTGAATAAGAATTTAATTTGTGTTAATTTAAAGCAGAAGCAGAAGTATAAATAATGTAAGTTATGTTACATAACCTCAATGAAGCCGGATTATTCAGCATCAACACAAAAAACTTTTTTAAAAAAAGGTAAACAAAATAAATACAATAAACAAAGTTAAAATCATTCTTACATTTTTGTTGTTTATTTATAGGCATAGCACAATGCCAAGAGAAAAATCTAGTGTTTGGAATTATTACAAAATAGTGCAAAAAAACAAAAAAGATCATGCTCAAAGCAAGTTCTGTAAGAAAATCTATGTCGTTAATGCAACCAAAAATTTGACAAAAAGTTAATGTGTTATATATTTTTGCAAATCCCTGGCATAAAAAAAAATATTTTCGCAATAAAAAAAAAATTTTTGAAACTTTCGGAAAATTTCGGGAATTTTTGATGGAAAGTTTCCGGGAATTTTCGTCAAATGGGAATTTTCCCATCTCTAAAAATTTCCCTTTTTTACGAAAATTTTCCCACGAATTTTAAAAATGATAAAGTTTATTTTGGCATGGGTATTTTTTGTTTTTAAGAAGAAAAATACAATATTTTGAGAAACGGGGAAATTTAAATTAATTTTTTTTTTAAATCATTCATTTGATGAACTAGACATTACGAATTGCGTTTGTAAATAAAAACTAGTTTAATCTAACACTTTTTGTTTTATACAGCTCATAAAATAATCCCCCAAGTATTTCAAATTGTAAGCATGCAGGTTTGCCGTTTTGCCGTTTTGCCAGTAATTGAATGTGAACCAGGAATTTTCCAGTAAAAAACTTGAAAGTTAGAACGAAAATTTTTATGGCGTGAATTTCTGTAAAACTGTGATTCTGTGTGAACTTAGATCATTCAAGTGTGATGCGGAGTATATACACTGTATTTATAAATACCCTGCCAAAAAAAATAAAATTAAAAATTAACTGCATTGTATGTAAACCAAAAATATTCTGCCTGGAATACAACGTAAATTTTTTGCCAGTAATTTCCAGTAATAGATTTTAGTTAAGCCGGCAACGCAGATTATAAGAAAAACTTGAAGCGCGCATAGAGCAGGAAAGCTATATACGCAAGTTTATGACGATTTACATAGAGCGTATGGCCAGGATGTATCCTCATCATCAGTGACGTCACTATTAGGCCGCTGGTTTGTTGACTTTGGCTGTCCACAAACTTGATATGTTTAAGCTGTTATTTTTAAAAGAAAAAGTATTATAGGTATAATACTACTATAGTAAACATTTTTTCGGTAAATTTTTTTTCATGAATGTTGATTGGACTTTTCTTTTTAGTTGTTTTAG